GCACATCAGCAGGGTTGCATGAAGGAGCTTATATGGTCTCCAGAACTGTGGCTAATCTTCTGTACCAAAAGGTGCCAAAGGTACATCAAGTTTTATAAACGTTTGGATGTTTTGTTTATAGTAATAATTACCGTGTAATACATGGAATTCTTCATTTTAACAGTGCTTAACTAAACTTAATTACACCCTGGTCATTCATGAGAAGTAGGCAAATCATCACTATCCTGCTGTTATAAAGTAGGCAGAGACGGACTGTAACTTGCTCAAAAGCTGAAGGACTAAGGGAAATTAGTGTAGTAGTCTAGATGAGCAATGAGGAATGGTTGGCTTCCACAGCAAGTTCTACTTCCATCCTCCTATGTTTAGTTATTGTCAAACTCCCTCTTTTTGTTCATAGGAATATTTCTCACTTGAAAGAATCAAGACTAACTTCAAATTTTATCATTTTGGAAGAATTTATAAAAACATAGAGTAACATATCTTTGGTGAGTTTTCCCTGGACCTGATAGGTGCTTTGCATTTTTAAAAATCTAGCTGGTAAGTTTAGCTGTCAAAATGAAAGCACAGTTCTTTTCAAAATGTTGCCTCAGTTTTTGCTGTGGATAGAGCAATTTTGAAAACACAGTCTTTTAACAGGAAAATGGCCAACATGGCTGCCTTTTAATAATATAATTAAGAATAAGGCTCTTCACGAAGAGGCAGGTAGGAGAATGTGCAAAATATCCACATTTTTTTCATTTAAAATCTTCAAAGTTACAAGAAAAAATCAGCACAAAATCATCTTTTGGGAAACAATTTGCCTTTATATTCCAACAGTATATTTTTATTTACTAAATTTGATCTTATGTTCTACAGGAAGGTATAAACTGAAGTAAAGCAAGTGAATTGCACTGATTCTGTTTTAAAATCTGACATTTAACTACATCATTTTATATTATTTTAAGTACAAATTTGGAAAAAATCCTGAACTGATTTCTCTGGCCCATAAGCCTCATAAAAAGCAGTGAAAACACTTAGTTGTTTAAAAACATATTTTCCTTCCTGGCTATTGTTATAAACGACAGAGACGGTCAGTTGGATGTTTAAGAAAGGGGAGGAGGTCTCCAGTTCCTCATGTTTCAGTTTTTCACTGCGCTGCCTGATCATTTAAGATGCTTGTTCCAGACAGCTTTAATTAAACTATGCTGTAAAACTGTGTATAGATCAATGGAAATGATCCATAAAAGCAGGCTAATCGTGTATTTAACAGTGTTCAGTCCAGTTCAATCACCTTCTACCATATCTGTGGCTTTACATTCATGTGGCAAAGCCTTGAATGTGTGTATGTATTTTTTAATCCATTCCATTAGTGGCCATATGCTTTGGCTTCAAGGGAGACAAGAACTGTCTGCAATCTGCCAGGGATTTGGGGACATCAATAATTTGTGAATAGTCATGTTGGTACTGGTCGAAGGGTTAAGTGCTCTGCACACCAAGGGCACATCTTTTGGGACTGGAACTCTTAGTCGACTGTTAGGAACCTGATCCCCTGTGACGCATCTTTTCAAAGTACATGCTGCATGTCAGATCCATACAGCTGAAGCAATGGAGAGCTTTATTAGCTCAGGGATTTAAAGACCTGCTCTAAGCGATGTAACGATATCTTTTGGTTAAAAAATGAAGGAAAGATAGCAGTTGTAATATCGAAGTGATTTTTTATATACTGGGCTAAATATGATCTTTCTTTTTGTTACCATTTTCCTTTTCATTATCGGCTATTAGCTTACTCCCCACCTGCAAATAGTCAGTGAAACAGGATATGTCAGCAAGAATAAGGACCTGATTTTGCAAACATGGAGGTGTGTTCTGTGGCCTCATACATGTAAGGACTGCAGGAGAATGCCTAAAGATCCTATTGAAGTCAATGGTAACATAGATGTAAAAAACATTTCCTTAATCCTTTGCAATGACCCTATAAGGGCTTCCAGGACATTGTTCTATCTACTTAGCATGGAAAGCACCATTAAAAACAATAGCTAATGATTTTAAATTGTGCCTTGTTGTGTGGAAGGGCTGTTAGGTCAGTGTGAAAGATCATTGTGCTATTGTTCTCAGTATCCTGTCCTGAAAAAGGAATGTCAGAAATAAATAATATTACCAGAAGTTTTGGTGAGAAAGGGAAAGACTTTAAATTATTTTTCTTTAATTTAGGTTGTGGTTATGTTCATCTCCACGTACTTCCCTCAGCTGTGCCCAGTTCAATAGAAAAAATCATAGTGGTGCAGAATGAAACTCAGTATGAAACCTGTGCCACATTTTCTGCCCTTCAGTTGGGAGCAGGGGTATCCATCTTACAGGATGAAGCTTACCTGCTTTGGGTGAATTTCAGATAGTAATAATAATTAATGCTGACTGTCTTGGGAAATGAAAACATTCACAGAACATACCACTTGTTTGCTGCTTGCTACTCAGCTTTTTGTGTTTGTTTTTTAATGAACTTTCTGTATCAGGACACATTGAACGATTTTAGGACTGGTATCAATCCTATGGGACTCCTGTTAGAGCTCCAGGAAGCACTCTCACTGTACCCCCCTCTTTCCTTTGCATGTTTTTACTTGTAAGGTCAACTTTTAGAGGAATGGCATGCAAGGGAACAAACATTTCCATGAGTAATAGATAGGAAAGAAATATTTGCAATCTTAAGGGTATTTAAACAAAGAAATACACACTTCAAAAAGCACTCCTGCTGTTGACTCAGACTTGTTTCTCTAAAAGCTTAATTTGCAGAAGTAAAAAAAATGATTGTGTCTTTATTAGTGTCACATAATTACAAATACACAATTAGTAATGGAGGATTTAGATGAGTAACTCACATTTTATTTATAGCATGTAAAAGATATGGCTGCACACTTTTGCATTGTATCAGCTATGATTGTACAGTCTGATTTACTAATTATGTATTGTCTTCTGTGATACCTTGGGAGTGCAATTTTAGTTTTTCAGATGATCCTGTCTCCTCTTTTGAGGTGCAATCTGAATGAGCAGACTTTTATCCACAAGTTTTAAAATGTATAAAGATGTAGATCTAAAGCAGAACGTTTTCATATCAAACTATTTGATTTACATGTGTAATAAAACATTTAGAGATGTATGCCCCAGATTGTCATCCATATTTCAATTATACATTTAGGCTTTACTACAGCAGTTTGTGTTTGCAGTAGAAAAGGTGGTGGTCTTTTGGAAAGGTGGCTCTTTCTGGCTCTCAAGTCTACTAAGGAATGTTCAGTGGTAAATATTCATGGCTATTTTGCCCACTGCAAAAAGCAAAATGCGGTTCAATTTTCAGATAACCTTATTTTCAAATACCCCTTTGAAACTAATACCTGGTTTTGTTATGGTAATTTTTAGCACTGTTTCTTAGCTTTTAAGCCTGTGAGAAAGTTAGAAATTATAGAAAAGATACACATTATATTTTCACAATTTCTAATGGAGGAAAGAAAATGAAATGTAGTTTTAGTAGGGTGGAACTGGTGATTTTTGAGGTGAAATGTTTGTACCCACCTCCACTTAATGCATTCTGAGCCAGCGTAACTATGAAATTGCCTGAAATCAAAGTTGAGAATGAAAATGCTAGCTGATGCTTGGTTGGAGAGTCACTACTGAATATCTGAGATGCATAGACTGAGTTGCTTACTACACAGAACATGAAGTCCTTTGACCTTTTAAGGTGACTATTGATCTTAGACTCACCTCTGTCTGTTCTCATCCGTAATGTCAATGAAGTTGACACAAAATAACAAAATTTCAGTAGACTGCTACTGTCTTTGCAATATTTGATAGGTAACATTTCCCTTATTACTTTAATTCCTGCTACTGCTGCTGAATAACAACAGAACAGTGCTAGCCTCTGTAAATACAATAGCAAATTTCCTCTTTTATCCTGTATGAGATAACACTTTGACTGAACTGCATATTCACAGTTTCACAGGCAGTGAGAAAAAAAAATCTTTGACACTCTTCAAGTTCTGCCCTCTTTACACTCACTCTAGCCAAGAATGCTTAGTGTTATAAAGAATTGCTGTAATCACAGAAGCTCAGACAGAAATAACTTATCAAAACCAAAACCATGCAGCCCATTCCCTACCATTAGGAAACTGTCTTTTTGCAGGATCATTTGCAGAGTGGATTTTCAGCATGTCCGTTGAGACTATGACATGTCCAGGAATGTCTTGATGCTCATTTTAAATTTTCAATTCTTTAATTTTTTTCCATTATTCTCCTAGTTTTATCTTCTGCATTACCAATTCTCTTCCCATAATGGACTTGGAGTTTGTAAACTTCTGTCACACAATAGTCCCTTTGGAGCCATCATCAGCTATATTACGTATTTTTTATAGTTTGAATCTCTCTGTAAATCTAGATCTGCAGTCGTGTATGTTGCTGTCCCTGAACTCCCTCCATTATATCTTCCATGCAGCATATTTCCACTGATTGCAAATGGAAATCATGTTCACAATGTTTTTTTAAAATATCCCATTTTAACTTTTTGTACGTTGATGTATCTCAGTGGGACCTGAGAGTAGGATTTCACTTATAGACAGCTGTGTGCAGCTAAATCATCCAAATATCAAAGATCACAAAGAACTGAATTTCAACTGGTGTGTATTATCCTTATTACAGACAAACATCAGTTGTATTGGTTGCATTAATTCTTAGTTATTTTTACTACCTGCATTCAGTTACATTTTGCTGTATCTGTAGTAGCAAATGGGCCACTCACTCACAGCACTGTTTTGCTGAATTATGCAACATGTATTGATCCCAGATTGGTTGATTAGGAGGTGGGAGCTGGTGATTATTCCTCCTGTATAAACTAGAAAATCAAAATTGCATTTCACTTACCTTTGTTAATTGCGACTTCACAATACTTTGCAAAAACATATGTGGAGATGGCACACTTAGGACATAGAAAATGAGACCAAGGCAAAGGGGATTCATGAAGTGTTTTGTTTCTATTTTAGGACTGCAAGAATATCTTGAACAACATTTGGGCAAGAAGAGTCCAGCTCTGATTTTAGTACCTGTGATGGATTTACCTGGAAAGGAAGTCATTCATGTAACATGCTGGCTAAGTTAGTAGTTTAAAAGAAAAGAATTAATATCAAAGCACAAATTCCATCCAGCAAAGAGCAAAAAAAAAAAGTGATCATAACTGGATTGTGTATTTTCATTAAGTACCGCTGCCTGAATTAAGCAAAGTCATATTTAGCTTGTTAATGATGCCTCATGACATGCGACAGAATCAACTTTGTATGAACAATAAATGTGGGGTTTTTTAATAGTGTGCTATTTTCTCCCTCATTTTTAGATATATTATGGTAATAGTGGGTTGCCCTTGGAAGATGGCAGTGGCTCTGATCCCATCAGTTCTCTGTTTGATATATTTAGGTCTGGTGACACTAAACTAATTGCAACTTGTGGTCTTTTGGATGGAGGTGAAGTCAGAACATTAGCTCCAATACTGTTTTAAAGACTTGTTTGCTCTCAATTTGACAGTGAATTTTCTGACTTCAGGCCAACTCCTGAAAGCCTTACTTGTGGCCTGACTTTAACCCTTTTCTTGCACTGGGGAAGAGTTTTTCACAGGAGCATTAAGGATGCACATTTTACCAAAGTGAACAACTGAGATGATGGTCAGATTGTAGGATTTGCCATTTTGCTTTCAGAGGCAATAGTGAGTATCCTTATGCTTTATATCTGGCAGAGAACTCTTGTTTCAGAGCTCAAAGTATCCCCCAAGGCTTCAATCTTCCCTGGAAAATCGACAGGAGTTTTACCACTGCTTTCGTTAAAGCAGGCTCAGACGCATAGGTGAAGTCTCTGTTGAGTTCATTGCAACTGATATGTTACTCATAATATGATAAAGTATTGATATAGGAAAGAAAGCCTTTTGGAGTTAGCCTGAGGTGGTAGGCACTGTAGAGACATCTCGTTTTTCAGGCAAAGGCTATAAAATTATACCTTGAAGAAAGAGTATCAAATTTATGCCTATGTTCTATATCTGTATATTCTCTTCGGTTCTTGTTCAGCGTGTGAGCATTGGAGCTACATAACCAGTACTCCAGCTGGCCTTCTCTTACGCCAACATATATCTGAGATAACTCCACAAAAGTCAACTGCATGACAGCAAGTTTACATTGGGGTGACTGAGAGGTGAATTTAGCGCTACAGCTTCATTTTCTTCCCCACTACCAGATATTGTTTTGGCAGCTAATACAAAACCAGTGACTAAAGATAAGAAGATCTTCCTCTGCTAGATGCTTCGCATGTCCAGCATATTATGCTCATTATTACCTGAAAATCGAACGGTTAAATGTCAGTGTTACCATTACATTAAGAGACGTAGCAGAGCTACCACTCTTTTTAGTAAGAATTATTTTTGTCACAGTTATACAAATATTTTTTGGAAGAAAGGAGAAGGCACAGAACTTCTTGTATACCAGTATATAAATACATGGTTGTATTAAATTAAATTTCTTAAGAAAAAGGAAAGAATGTTAACAATACCTTAGCGTATTAGCATGCAATATCATTTTCAAAACGTATCTGATGATAATTCTTCCCACAAAAAGAACTTGTTAATACCTGAGTATGCCTGTTCTATTTGAAATCCAGAATTTGTCTATCTTTTTGAAAGTTAAATCATTTTCTTACCTCTCTCTGGAAGCAGCAGTCTTTTATTTCTTTCGATGTGAGGAACAAGCTGGACTGAAAGAAAACAGGAGAAGGAAAAATACTTTCAAAGAGAGGATGATGAAGCATAATTTTTTATAGACACATATGGAAGTCAAAGAGATGGCATGAGTTTGGCTATCTGTGTCTCCTATAGCAGACGTTTTTTCGTAGTTCAGAAAAGATATTCAAATGTATTGATCTTAGCTGATGTACTATACTGTATATTTTAAGACGGCAGGATATTTGTTCCTAAAGAAACCAGCTTTTCTGGCAGGTTTCATGCCTTGAACTAGCCTTTTTCTTTGCTGGTGTGGATGCATTGAAAAAAAGTAAGAGAATGCTTTGGTGTAAAAAATGGCACAATCCTAATTTTTTTTCTAGAAAGAAAGAAATCTTTTTCTTTTCTTGAGATAACTAGAACTTTAACAGGTTTACTTTGTGAACAGCTGACTTCTTCCCCTTGAAAGGCTTCATACAGCCTAAAAATGGTATGAGTAACTATGACTGGAAGCTGGGCTTGCTGAATTTTAAGTATGAATGTGGCAATTTGTTCAACATTGATATGCCAGGTAGGTGAGTAAAGTGCTGCTCCATATAGAGACCTAATGACTTTTATAACAGAAAGAAATGTCTTAACACCTTTTTATCCACTTTATGCTGCGGTACTCTCATGACAATTAACTGGCCCTACTATGAATAAGTTGTTTCACAGAGCTCTCTTTCAGTTTCTTGTAACAAAAGTGCTAGCTGAAGAGAGGAGGAAGGGAGAGGGGCACACAAGCACATGTATGTGTTTTATGAAAAGAAGGGAAGACAGCTAATATTTAAAATCAGCTAATATGTGCAGGTTTTTTTGTAGGACAGACTGTGCTGAGTGTTTACCTAGGCAGATGTTAATGCTGAGAGTGTAAATTCATATACTGTGGTAAGACACTGGTTTTGAGAATATAAAGATACAATTTCTTCTGTTTCTCTGATTTTTGCGAAGCCTGCAGGGAAATGTGTTGTATGCTTATTGTGACATAAAAAGCACCTTGATCTAGGTTTCAGCACCCAAAGTACAGCAAAGCTAGGTAATAACTGGGAAAATGTCTTTTAAAATTTTACATAGGGTTTTGATTTTTCCTTTCTCTGCTGTAACAAGTGTTAGAATATGGCTTTTATGTCCTTTTTTTTTCCAAAAAGAATCTATTTCTTGTTATAGATATCTATGTAAGTGAAATTACGTCTTCTGCCTCTTTTAAAAATCTCCATATATCAGTTTCTTTAATTGCTTGAAAGCTTATTAAAGTGAACTGACCAAATGGGACTGCAAGACAAGAACTGATTTAATAACTTTGTGTTTTACTCATTTCAAAACCTGGTAATGGCTACAGTATCAGTGAGCCTTTGCAATGCACATGGCTAAGCTGCCATAAAGCCACCAGAGCTCATCATCCTAAATAGGTTTAAAAATGACATTGAGATATTTTAAGCAGAGATTATTTAATTTTTTTTCCTTGCAAGTTTTATAGTTAGGTGATTCAGGAGCTGATTTGTTACACCAGATAGCATTGGTGCATCTTTCCTCTTAGCTTTCAGAAAGCTAGCAGGCACTGGAAGAAGGTCTCCTGAGTATTAGAGAGGTGATCTGAAGCAGCTATGTTCCTTCAAGGACATTCTGCTCAATCCATTATCTCCTGTCTATGTGCGGTAGTCTAGTCTATCAAAATACAATGATTGAATAAAACTTTTATTTCAAATAAATGAATGCACTGATTTAATAAAAGGTTTATACTGTATGGTATAATAGTTTTCCAAATGAACACTGAAATCCTAAAACAGAAACTTTTCATGTGTCCAAATTAAATTTTTGTCACTTCTTTCAGAATGGGTTTACTGAAGCAAACACAGTTTATACTGTGTGTTAAAGTAAAGCTATCCTGAGCTCTCTGAGTGCTCACTGGCACTTACCATTTAAGTAACCTGCTTTTACTATTATAAATATGTCTGGCATTGGGAATATGTATTAAGAATACTTGACAATTTACTAATTTATGATGTCTTCAGTTGTATTTTAATATTTCTGGCAAGTCAGCCTGTGTTGATGTATTAGCCAAGCATTCAAAATACAGACTTGAGATCTTGAAAGCTTATTTTTTTCAACTTACATCTGAACACTGAATATTTTTGACATATTTTAAATTTTAATTTTAAAAAACAGACTGGGTACCTGTGAACTGAACCCGTATGTTACATGCAAGTGCCCTTTTACTCATGACTCACTGCTCACAATTTCTTGGCTTCAAGTTTTGTTGGATTAATTCATGGTTAGGTTTTGCCTGTGGTTTCTTGCCTTTTTCATTTTTAGAGCAGTATCTCCTTTTTCCTCATACTCGCAAAGAGTCAGGTTGTTCAGATCATTCTTCTCACAGGATATATCACTAGTAGCAGTCTCCTTGTCATTGCCTTTATTTTCCATTTCATTTGAAATCTTTGAAAACCGTTCCTTAGGATATGTGTGCTCACCCTGCATTTGCTATCATATTGCTATTTTGTGATTGAATCATTTAGTCCTAAACATTTTGAAAGAGTTTGTGTAATTTAACCCATTTGACAAGACTCGTTCTCCACAATAAAAACAGGGTGTGCTCAGAATAGGTCATGTTTCACTTTTTGTTTTCTCAGTTTTCAGAAATTCCAGATCTTCTCTAAATTATGCAGATCTTCAGATCAGAAGAAGATAATGGTTTGGGGCGAGGCGGAGAAAGCTGAACTAAATGCCCTGAACAAATTGACAGCTACTTTGATCTAGTGACTTGTTAGGAGGCTCTAGAGTCAGGAGACATAGGTTAGGATCATGCCACCCCTTTACTGGTTAAGTTTAAGCAAGTACATTACCTTTCTTGTAGCTCTGTTTCCTTATTTGTATCTTTTAAATAATGTTTTCTCACCTTGGTAAAAGTTTTGGCAAAAAAAAAAAACCAAAAAAGGCTATATTGTAGTCATACGACTTGCAATATCAAAAAGTTTAGACTGAGTGCAAAATGCACAAGAGTGTGAAAATGTTGTTGTAGTGGAAACCATAATGACTGTGATCACAGATACCAGTTTGCATGTGTACAACCTGGAAAGATTTGCTCCTGATATGCTACCTGCAGCAGATACAGATCACAGGAGGAGTCTATATGATATATCTAGTAACATCAATGATACATTTTACAACTTGCTTTGTCCTGGATGATCCCAAAGTGCTTTACAAGTCCAATACATAAAATTTGCCTGGGCCATCGCCAAGGCAGCCACGGGCCCAAGACGGGCCCTCTCTGCAGCGTGAACGTGGATGAGTCGCTGTGGTTGTGCTGCTCGGAGAAGAACTGCTCTGCTCTCTGCAGCCTTCTGAGGAGGGGTATCTGCACTGGCAGAAGCACCACTACCACACAGAGACTTCAGTCCCAAAGCTGAAGCAGTTAGTCTTGTTACTTTCTGTTGCTCATAAGATTTGTTCCATTTAGGTTTTTGCCGTGATGGAGGGGAAAATCCCTCCTTCAGGCTCTGCCAGACAGGAGTTTATATTGTTCTGCAGTTCCTGTTATTGGCAGCAGTTGATATTTCTCAATATTCATAACTTCCTTATTTATGAATCATTATTATGTTATTGCCATATCCCCACTTTAAAAGACACTGTTTCTTTGAGTCTGATGTTGTGAAGTTGTGATGTTGCATTAGAGCTGCAAGTTCGCTCCCGACAAGGGTGGCCTCAGCTTCTCTAGTTCCCATGGTTTTGGTGGTAGCTGCCTTGATAGCAGTTTATTTTGTTGCTTATAGAAGAATAAGTGTCCAGAAGGAAGAAATAAATTTCTCAGATGTAAGAGTTCTCTTGCTGCGACAGAGTTCAGGCCTACTCCCACACAGATCCAACCCTTCTGTAATAAGACCCAGATACATGCAAATGTAGAGTCTTTTGTAACTGAACCAGATTCTCACAGTTCCAGAGCTGGATCTGTTAAGGTTCAAAGCAGGAGGTGTTAAATGGTATGAAATAATAGAAGGGAAACACAGGAACACAGGAAAGAAGTCAGTGCCAAAGGAATAGTATTAGTAGGAACCAGCAGGGAAAACAAGCTAAAAAGGCAAACAGAAGGTCTAGGGACCTAAGAGGATTATTATTTATTTACAGGATATCTTTGAAGAAATGGACCCTGGCCTGCCTTCTCACTGTTGCTGGTTGTAACTATAGAAGATTAAGGCATGCAAAACTATTAGGAATAAATAGAGTTCCCAGTAAAGAGATCCAGAAATGCATTTAAAAACATATCTCTAATTCTTTCAGCAAGATATAAAATGCTAAATGCTTTGACTACTCCACAAAGCACAACAATGTGCTTTGGTCTGACTTCTGAATGTGAGGATGCCCAAAAGGAGGCTAATCTGCAAGAGAGGCTGCCACTTCTGTGCCATTGTGCTGTAAGGGGACATTTCTCCTGGGCACTGCCTCAGTGCAGACAAGGGATGTGGCCCAAAGGTCTCAACTAGAAAACAGTAGCCCATGGATGTGGCCTTCCTCTGTACCCCTCCTTCATCAAGGCTCTACAGAGTGCCAAGATTTTGATTCAAGATTTCCGTTTCGTTGTTATGGATGTCGTTTAAAACTAAAAGACTATTTAAATATCAAAAGTCAGAATATCCCATACTGCTGCTCAGATTAGGCAAGCCAGAAGTGATTCTCTTTATACTGCAATCCCCAATGCAGACAAAAAGCTTTCTCAGGTTGAGATCCTGCCACTCACGTAATTATTTAGAGAAAGACAGCTCCACTACTTCAGCTCCAGTACTTCACAAGAGAAATGGAAACATTAGGAAAAGTTTTTTCTTTGATGTAGAATATGCTGCCACTTTTTTGTTATTAAAATAGGAGCTAACTTTAAATAAATAAAATTTTGCCTGGAGGCTTCTGAAAACTAATGTTGTGTTTTGACAGTGTCATTTTTCTGATTCCTGAAAGCATTATGTGAGTTAGCTTAGGATTTCATCATGATTTTTCTTCTGTGCTACATACAGTAAATTATTTTTCCAGCTCTGGGTTTTATTTGATTTCTTTCTCAATCACACGTACACACACACACATACACACTCGCACAGTCACATCACTGTGCAACTTTCTTATTTGACAGGTGCTCCCCAATGCTGTTTTTCCCCCCTTTTAAAGGACAAGTGGATATCAGCACTCTGCAGAGGAACTGAAGGAAAGATTACAGCAAAGGGGAGGCAGCTATCACTATTTTTATTGGGCAAAATAGATGAAAAGCATTTGCCTTTGAAAGTCTTTGAAAAAGGAGAATAAACTAAGGAAATGAAGAAAGGTCTCTCACACACACACACACACACACACACACACACACACACAAAACCTATGAGAGAAGAGTATTAAGAAAAGAAAAAAAAACCTACATTCACAGGATGTGAATGCCTCTTTAATTGGGCTTGTAGGTTTTATATCCTTTAAATTCATGCCTTGCTATAAAGAATATTAATGTAAGGATGATATAGGACTTTCAAAAGAAGCAGCTAGTGTTCAAATAACAGCTGATTTGAGACTCCAGTCTTTGATGATAATTTATGGCCCTCTTTAAAAAAAGCAAAGATTCTTTTAGGTGTATGCTCAACTAGAAAACTCAAATAATGTGTGCTTAGTGAGAGAAAAAAGATTGCTAACTGCACAATGTGTCTTACAGCATAAAGTGCAACGCTAAAATTGCACATTGCTGAGCGTTCTTAATGTGCTGTGAGCAATTTCATACACTGTATTTCAAACATTGAGTGCACACTCTAATATATACATATATCAGGGGTGGTCAAACTTTTTGATATGTGTCACAAAGTGATTTCAAGGGATAAGCAGAGCTGGCCAAAGGCCTTCAATTCTACTTTACGACAACTGTTAGGGTTTTAAATTCATATTTATTTCCTATTGGAATGAAAATAAAACATTTCAAAGGTTTTTTGGTGGTGGTGGTGGTACTTTTTTTACAGAAAGGAATCATGTCAAAGTGCTCATTTGCTGATTGAAAAGGTCAGAATTTCTATTCAGATTCTCTTTTTTTCAGAAATGACCAGATAGCCTTGGACCATAAAAACCTTTCTGTTGCAGACTTTGATGAAATTTTTGTCTCTTAAAATGTTTGGCCACACAGCCAGCTTCTATTTAAAATATTTTTTCTGTGATTCTTGGAGACCCCCTAATTCAAGGAAAAAAAGAACCTTATCTGTCTAGTGCAAGTAGAGTTCATAGATGTAAACATAGGCCTGAGGGGCAAGAACTCTTAAGGCTCTGATGCTGGCATTGAGCTTTGCTATGGTCATACGTTGTGTATTTATGACCTCTTCCCTTCTGTAAAATGAGGACAACAGTAATGGGTTGATGTGTTGTGAAGATTTTTCTTGTAAGTACTGGTGGGTATATAATAAGGTGTTCTGCAAGTGTTACATGTTACTAGAAAGGAGAACATGCCCAATGCTATTTAGGCCCTTAGTTGCTTAGCCGAGGTAGACAACTTTGAGTCCTGAATCAGCTGTGAAGTACAGAGATTTTTTTGAAGTACGACCCTGTGAGAGTTTTTGACTTGCTTTCTTGTCTACTGAGCAGGCTGCAGCATGGTGTAGGAATGCTATTGCAGGCACAAATTGATCCAGCAGCCTGGAGCACTGCACAGGCTAGTGTCTCCTGTACAGATGAAAGGTAACTACCCAGACTCCATATCTAGATATGTTTATCTCTGCAGTACCCACAATATACAGCAGTACAAATTACAGGCATATCTTGACTTTTGGAGCTACTCTTCTTTCATAATTTCGTGGTTTTCTCTGTATCCTCAAAACCAGACGCCATTGTTTTTAACAATACTGGGATCTTCAGGTAATCACTTCTTTGCGGAAGCTGGGGGTTTAAGAAATCCAAATATTGCAGGAGAATTGAGGAA